GAGGTGGAATACGAGGCGTTGATAGCTGGGCTAACCCTGGTACAAGAGGTAATAGCGAAACACATAGTTATTTGCAGCGATTCCCAGCTTATGGTTAACCAAGTTACAGGCGAATACGAGGCCCGCGAACCAACAATGATCACCTACTTAGCAAAAGTAAAAGAGGCTCTGCTTAACTTCCAGTCACACTTCATCTGGCAAATCTTGAGGTCAGAGAATGCTGAGGCCGACGCCCTGTCCTGGTTAGCCAGCACCAGTGACAACACCATGAGAACCGTGTACATAGAGAACGTACCTCGGCCTAGCATTCTCAGGGGGGCAGAGGAGTTCGCTCTTGTCGCCCAAGCAGAGCCGAGCTGGATCGATCCACTCACGAGCTTCCTGGTACATGGAACCCTCCCTGTAGACCGCAATGCCGCTAGGAGGGTAGAGCGCCAGGTAGCCAAATATGTCAGAATAGACGGACGGTTGTACCGAAGATCCTCCACGCTCCCCTACCTACGCTGCTTGCGGCCTCCTGAAGTCGTGCTCATACTCCACGACATTCTTGAAGGCCTGTGTGGCAGACACCTGGGGGGCAGGGCCCTCGCTCAAAAAGGATTACGACAGGGGTACTATTGGCCAACAATGAAAGCAGACGCCGTTGAGCTAGTCAGGAAGCATGTCAATATTCACCACCAGCCCGTCGCCGACCTCAAGTATCTCACCAGCCCATGGCCTTTCACACAGTGGGGCATCGACCTACTCGGGCCATTCCCGCCAGCAACGGGTGGGAGGAAGTTCCTAGTAGTGGCGGTAGATTACTTCACAAAGTGGGTTGAAGCTAAAACTCTCGTAACAATCACAACTCGAAATGTCCATAACTTCTTTTGGAAAAACATAGTGTGCTGCTTTGGGTACCCCGGATACTAATCTCCAACAAGGGCAAGCAGTTCAAAGACATAAGATTCCAAGAGTGGTGCCAAGACATGGGGATCCAGCAAAACTTCACGTCGGTCGCGCACCCACAAGCAAACGGTCAGGCAGAAGTCACGAACAGAGCTATTCTCCTCGGACTAAAGGCCAGGCTAGACCGAGCTAAAGGGTTATGGGCGGACGAGCTATCCAGCATTTTTTGGGCATACCGAACTACAGAGAAAACTGCCACCAGAGAAACCCCCTTCAACTTCACATATGGTACGGAGGCAGTCATCCCAGCCGAAATCGAAATCCCTTCACTTCGGTTGGAAGCATACAACGACAATACCAATAACGACGAGCTACATACCAACCTCGACCTGCTCGATGAGGTGAGGGACCTTGCATACATCAGGACCGCAGCGTATCAGCAAAGGGTAGCTCGGTACTACAACGCCAGAGTCAAGAAGCGGAACTTCTGCGTCGGCGACCTGGTTCTCCGCAAGGTCGTGGTACCTGAGCTCGGCGTTGGCAAGCTCGGGCCGAACTGGGAAGGACTCTACCGAGTAAAGAGAGCACTCGGAGGAGCGTACGAGCTCGAGACCCTGGAGGGTAGGCAAATACCTCGAGCTTCGAACATCGTCAATCTAAGGCGATATTACCTATAAGCTACCGAATTGGGCGGACTGTGAGCCGCTCCCAGAGCCTAAGGGCCAGAATGCCGAGGTAACAAAGACCTCGACGCTACAAGACCCGGTCGCCTCTCCGGCATGGGCAAAAAACCTAGGAAAATATCCTAAGGGCTAAAGCGTCGAGCTGAGGATGACCTCGGGACCTCATCAACGCAAGCTAAGCACCAAGAAGAGCAAGCAGCACGGGTATGAAACCCAGGGTGTATAGTTCGCTCCAAGCCAGGCCTACTAAACTGATGTTTACTCAGGCGGAGTACAAATCGGGCATATAGCCTTACTATGTTGACCCGCCTCAAGCCTTGTTTTGGGGACCTAATTCTATATAGCTCGGCAATATAATCACCTCGGCAAAAGAAGAATAGTTGCACAACACAAGCAGAAAAAGTACTTCATTACTAATGTTTGCTTTACAGTGTTAAAAAAAAGATGATGAGCTCGCATGCTCGATACATATCACTTCGGGCTCACAGGCCCGGTACACCACTTCGGGATATCCCCGTTGCCCTCAGAAGGGACTTCGGCAACACTCGGATGGTTAACCTCGTCATCAGAGTTGGGATCTTCATCGGCCGCAGCCATCTCCGGAGTGATACGCGAGGTGGTGATAGCACGAATGTCAAGTTCGGGGTAGGAATGCCTTATCATCCACCGGCTCAGTTGGAAGCCCCTCCGGTATGAGCCCACCATCAGGTTGTCGAAGCGCTCCGACGCTATGTAGTCATTGACGGCCTTCACCTTGGTGTCCTCAAGGGCCTAGAAGAAGATCTCGGACTTCTCCTTGATGTCGGCCTTGAGGTATTCCACCTCGTGCTCCAGGCTCCCTTTTGAGGTCGCGAGGTGTTTCACGACAAGCCTCAGGGCACCTTTCTCCCTTCGGTATCTCTCCAACTCACTCCTCTGAGCTGAAGTCTCGCCCTCAAGACGCTAGACCCGCTCACGAGCTAATCCCAAAGCCTCTTCGGCAGTTTGCGCCCGCTCCCGAGCTGATTCCAAGGCCTCCTCGGCAGCCTGTGCCCGCTTCAGTCTGCATTCTGCTTGGATAATTAGGGCATGGATGGAGGAGTTCGCCTGCCAAGCAAGGAGTCAGTTCGGAAAGAAAGTAAAGAATGAAGGAAAAATCACAAAGGGAAAACCGCGTCAACTTACCACCATGACATGAGACGCAGCACGAGCGCCGATGTGACTTGGAGGTAGCTTGGACCATGCCGCGACCTCGCCTGGGTAAACAGCCTTCTTACTCTTCCGAAGAGCACAGCTCGGAGTCAGCACACTGCCAACCCCCTCCTGGCTCCCCGAGCTGGAAAACATTGTCGGAGTTTCTGTGGTTTCGGCTTCTCGAGCCTCCGTGACGACGGGCTCCGCTGCCACTTCGGGGATGGGCCCCGCCGCCTTAGGTTCCCTGGGAGAATCTTGGTTGATGACCAGAGGGTGGCTCGGGGCTTCGGATTCCACTGCCCGAGGAGACTCCACGCGAGCACGCTTGGTGACTCGTTTCCTCCTCTTCAGACCGTCAAGTAGGTTGGCACCGCGGGTCTTCTCCGCCTCCATGATACCTGCGAAAAAGGGCTCGACATCAGTACAAAAAAATAAAAGAGAAGGAAACTAAGTAAAGAAGCCTACCCGGACTCAGACCGACCTGAATAAGTTTAGCTTCCGAGAGGTATTCTTCGCACTCAAGCTCGACCTGGGCCCAGGACTGAAATGTCTCCGCCATGTCTTTATCCAACATGACGCCGGGGTCAGGGACAACCACCCTCCATTGAGTAGGAAACAACCACCCCGTAGCGCTTCGGACCACGAAGTAGTCCCGCCTCCACGCCGGGACCTTGTTCGGGAGTTTGTGAAGAAGCTTGAATCCTGGGTGGGGAGACAGGTAGTAAGCCCGCCTGTGCTTGGGAAGGAAGCTCGCTTGTTTTTTGAAAATAAGAAGAGCAGAGAAAATTTCTAAGTCCAAAGGTATGACATATTCGTAGTAGAGGGATATGGTCCCGATGACGTTGCGAATAAAGTTCAGGTGAAGCTGACCGACTGAGACACCGAAGTGGTTCAAGACTTCGACGATTAGAGGGTGAAGAGGAAGGCGCAACCCGGCAATGAGATGCTCCCAGAAGACCACGATCTCATCTGGACCATGCTCCCAAGGGAAGTTGCCCGAAGGTATGCTATATACATACTCCCCGGGCAGGTTGAACTGACGAATAAGGGACCGAAGTCTCCTAGACATCATGGTGGAGGGTCCGAACGTGTCCGGCATCCGAACCCGACGAGAAGTGGACTCTAGACTACCCGGGGTAACCCGGGCTGAAGGCCCTACCTCGTGCTCATCCAGAAGGTTGTCAAAAGAGTCAGCCCGACCTGAGGCCTCTGCCTCAGGCCCGTCCAAGAGGTTATCTAAGCTACCCGAACTACTTGAACTAGACATCGCAAAAGGAAAGGAAAGGAAATCGAGAAAGGCTAAGGGAACTCACCAAGGAAACGACCCCGAATTAGGGAAAGTGACGCGAGCTGAGGACCCTGAACGCAAGCTCAAGGAACGATCGCTGAATATTGGCGAAGGAAAAGTGACCAGGGACCCCACTATTTATAGCCGCTGTACTCGCGCATCAACGGTCGAGATCAAAGCCATCCAATGGCTCTCAGGAAAATCGGTTGCACGACCCCCTTGGTGAAATCAGTTTAGCGCGAACTTTTGACGTCTGATAGTTGATAAATCGTTTGACGTCCGCGCGTGAGCTGTACGCGACCCGGGCTGACTCTGGTGAAGTCGCGCTAATCCTAGCCGAACCAGGGGCATCGACAGGTCAGATCGGGAAATCTCCGAGCTGGACTAAGCACACCACGGAGCAAATCCACCCGTCAGTCCGTGAACTCCCCGCGCCGGGTCAAGACCCTAGACACGAGGAGTGGGGGCCAATTGATGGAGGTAGATTTAACCGAACCCCTTGGCTGTGCGACACGTGGAAGAAACCGGGGTGGCCTGGCAAGAACGTCAGCTTGGCACGACAAAAGAGGTATGTGATATTTGGGCTTTCTGGTCTTGAAATCTATTATTTTCTCTTGCCTTTTCAAGAATATTAACTTGATCTTCGGAGTATTCCTATCGGGTTCCTCCCCGGAAATCTCCAATTTCTTCCTTGTTTCAGGCATCTTCGACTCCGTTAGAGGCAAGGTTACCGGCAGCTAAGACCGACCAGATTGTGCACCGTCAGGAGGTGTTTAGAGGACTTCCCTGAAGATCATTCTTAAATTCTACAATATGCTATCGATGGGAAGCTTCTTATGCTAGAAATCACTTTCAAACTAGAAGAGGAGATCAATAGCTTTATTCAATTAAATTCTAAGAAAAACTTACTAAACTTAAATGTTATGAATGCAAAAGAAAGACAGAAAGCAAGTAAGGCAGTTTTATGACTAAGCATCTGAATTGGGAATTCTCCCAACAGCCTCTTGTTCCCTTGGGTTTACCACGGTGTTGCTTGGTAAGGTACCCGAAACCCTTTCTGAAATCATCTGTGCCAACTGCCCAACCTGAGCTTCCAAGTTCCTTATCGATGTTTCGTTATTCTGAAATCTAGTTTCCACACTAGTTATGAACTTGGTCATCAGCTCCTCTAAGTTAGATTTCGGTTCTGGCTGATGGAAGTTTTGGTGAAAAGGCTTCGATGCATGCTGATTCTGCCATGGCTGATTCAGATGGTCTCTCCATCCGGGGTTATGGGCATGATGGTATTGATTTCCTGGCTGCCTTGCAAAGTTGCCAACAAAGTCTACCCTTTCCGTGGACTGAAAAGACTGATTGCCAACTTGGCATTCAGTGCTATTATGGCTTCCCCCACACTTATCATAAGGCAGGGACTGTACATGCATGGCTGCTATCTGCATTTCATCTAACTTTTTGCTATGTGTTCCAAGTTGACCAAATAGAGCCGTATAAGTATCAACATTATGCAGGCCATGCTGCTTCCTAGCTTGGGTTCTTTCAGAATGCCATTGATAATTGTTGGCTGCCATTTCTTCAATGAGTGCATGGGCAACCTCAGGAGTCTTATTGTTTATGGACCCTCCAGCTGCAGCATCTAGTATGGTCTTATTTGACTCGGTAAGACAATTATATAAGGTCTGCACTTGCAGCCATATGGGAAGAGCATGGTGGGGAACTCTCCTCAGCAGCTCCTTGTATCGTTCCCATAACTCGTATAAAGGTTCCCCCTTTTGTTGGAAAAATGTAGTGATATCATTCCTCATTTTAGCAATTTTAGAAGGGGGAAAATACTTAGAGAGGAAACGGCTAGCCATTTCATCCAACGTAGCTATTGATCCCGATGGTAATGAATTCATCCATGCTTTGGCTTTATCCTTCAAAGAGAATGGGAATAACCTCAGCCTAATGGCATCATCACTTACCCCATTTTGTTTGAAGGTGTCACATATTTCTAAAAAGTTAGCAATATGTGCGTTGGGATCTTCGTGGGCCATTCCATAAAATTGCACAGTGTTTTAAATCATTTGTATAATGGCAGGTTTAATCTCAGAGTTGTTAACAACAATAGTAGGCCTGATAATGCTGGAAGCAGCTCCAATGAGTGAGGGTTTGGCATAATCCATCATGGTTCTCTGTTCAGCCATTTCTTGAGCTTCTTGAGCTTCTTGTTGGACTTGTCTAGCTGCTCTTAGACGGACACGGAGAGTTCTTTCAATCTCCGGGTCGTAGAGGATCTCCTCCAGCTCGACTCTGATTGTCATAAACTGTGAAAGTCAAGGCAATAAAAAAGCCAATACAACAGAATATAAATGTAAACTTATCATAACTGAGATATGTACAATGATTTACTAATCATAAATAATTTTGATTATTAAGAGGGATCCGAACCAGCAATCTTATTATGAGGATTTTGCAAGAGAGATCATGAGCTTTGTTCTAACTAAAAATAATTTAAACCAAGTAATAAAAATAATTTAAACCAAGAGAGATCAAAAGAATGTAAGTAATCCTAATCTAGCATCCATTTACAAGTTAAAGATTACTGTACAAGAGAAATTTACAAAACCAAGAAGTCTAACTTCTATCCAACAAGAGAAACTTCAAAAATAAGATAAAAGTCAAGCAATAAACTGATAGAATGGAAAACTACCAAAGTTATTTGTGCTCAGATCTGCAATTTGATTTCAGCAATGTAATAGAGTGTATGCATATCTTATCCACAAATTTTGCAGACTAGAAAAATAGAGCTCCATTACTGAAACTTAGACCAGCATTCAAGTGTGAAATAGATCATAAGTGGAAAAGAGAGCTAGCTAAATTATCAATGGAGTTTATTACACACTATGAAAAGAAGTAACAATCTAAAATCTATTGTAATCAGATCTAAAATCATTGCTGAAATTAGGATCTTTAGGCTGTTCTTCAGGCTCTTATAGAATTAGACCCGAAGTCTTAGCTTTTGAGAACAGTCTTGCAAAAAAAACCTAATATCAATACGTCTGAAATATGATGCAATTAGGTCTGAAATAAGTCTGAACTCAAGAGCTTAAGATTTCTCATTTCAAGACCCAACTTATATGTCTTGTAAGCCTCAATTATAGACTTGAAATCAGATCAGTAAACTTACCTATGGAGAATAGCAACCTTTGGATCTAAATTCATATCTAAAATTGCAGTAGTCATTTATACTGAAATCAGTAGTTATTAGCATTCAAATAACCACTTGATTTTAGATCATAAATGATTTTGATTATTAAAAGGGGCTCTGAACCAACAATTTTATTTACATCCCTTAATTGCAGCATCTGAATTCAGATACAATTCAACTGAGTTCAGACCTGCAATTCTTTTGGATTGTTGGTGCAGAAAAATTAACAAACAAATAATAATTGGAGTCTGAATTGAATATACACTTATTGGAACTATTGCACACTATTGCATATATCCATTCACATCTACTAGACTGAGGGCTGCTTATCAGAGCTGAATTGCCAAGGTGCCTTCAGAGGACCTAAATTGAGCTATAACCAGACCTGAGCCAGGTTTGGGTTCAGGTTTGTAAGCTATGCAAGTGTATGGCTCATAATCTTGAAGAACTTCTTTGACCTGAAATCAAGTATGATGTGCTTATACCCTGTATATGCTGCTGCAATTCGGACTAATGACAGCAGTTCAGTTCACAGTTGATTCAGCCCATGTTTTGCTTGAAATTTCTTACAGGTCCATACAAGTGTAAATCAACCCATAGCTTTCTAGTTTATGTATATCAAGCTATTCGGTCCACACAACTTTTGCAGAAACCTGAAATCAAGTCTGCATTACATTGCTGCAAATTAGCAGGTCTGAGTTCCAGTTCAGATCAGACCTCATATCCATTCTCAATAGACATCAGAGCTGGCCATCATAGAAAGAAAAAAAAATTGAAATTAAGGAATATCCAAGAGTGTGTGCGGGTGGTTGAAAGCACAAACCTGACCTGAAATCAGGTCTTCTAACTGTTGTACTGTAGCAGCCCTGCTACAGATCTGAATGCTAATAGAATGCACTGCTGCTTTTTATTGAATATTTTGAGGCATCACAATTATTCAATCCAAACACACATCTTTAGCTAATTTAGATTGGGTACAAGTGGATAAAGCCAAGAATTAAGTCCACCCAAAATTCAAAATGTGCTCTGTATCAGTTCAGTCCTCAACTGCAATTCGGATCTGTACCAGTTCAGATCTGAATTTCCTCATTCCTTGCTACCCAATCACCCTTGAAGCAGGTTAGATGTGTCATAGGGTGAATTGGGGTAGTGATGGCACCCCAAGTCACCTGAAATTTGCATCAATTCAGATCTGTGTTCAGAGGGCGTCGTGCGAGTTCGTCTAAGTTCAAATGAACTCAGATCTGAACTGAGCAGTTCTGCAACAACAGAATTCAGATCTAAACTCAAGTCTGAGTTTGGATCAGAATTCTCAATTGCCTTTCCTTCAGTTATTGCAACCAAATGGCTTTGGGGGAATAGCAGAAGTGTCCTAGGGTGAATTGGGGTGATGATGGCACCCAATTCACCTCAAATTTGCATCAATTCAGATCTGTGTTCAGAGGGCGTCGTGCGATCGATTTTCACGTGAACCGTTAGATCGCACGTGAACCATCATGCGATCTATTTAAGAACCAATATTTTTTGGTTCCAAAAACATGTATTACTTTTTTTAAATAAAACCAACTTGTTTTTCACTTCGAAAACAAAAATAGAGTTCAATAATATGTTTTTTTTTTTGCTAATGTGGTGATTCAGCAAAAGCATTTGTTACAACCAAATCTGGATTCGAGGGCAAGAAGATTATTTTCAGCATCCGAGGCCAACATGTCCAACCTGGGAGAAGAAGTATGTCAAAAGCCCCGAGAGTTATCCCGAGGCGAAGTCTCTGACGGTCAAGTTAGCCAAGAGCTGTGAGAGGTCCAACCAAGCAAGAAAGGAAACTTAGAGCTTAAGTTCTGGTGTCCCCTTACCTCAATGTGGGAGCCCCTTTTTTATAGTTGGAGTTTCCTGAGAGGAGGAGTAGTTGGGAGCAGGTGACGGCAATTGGCAGTGGTTGGTGAAGGATGGTTAGGATACGTCTAGCTGACACCGCGAGTCAAGATCTGCGTGTTGACCAAATTCTCCTACATCACTTTCCCCCCACTCTTGAGGTCGTAGCAATCGAGGTTGTTTGGCATGTTGCGTTGAGGCCTCAGCTTTGGCCGAAGAGAGTATAGTGTACTTGCGTGGAGGCATTAGCCTTGGTTGTAGAGATCTTCTCAGCATCAAAAGGCAACTGCTCCTCCGTTCACCCTTTACGTCAGTAAAGGACCATCTCGGGTTAAGGGATCACGACCGTGGTCTGTGTGACTGTAGGTTGTTCGCGCCCATTTCCCATGCCTCACACAGGCGTTGATGTCTCCAGTCATATGTTCGTACGCAGGACGAGCATCGTGGTCGACTGAATGAAGTCGTGCTCAAGACTATGCAGGGGGGTCCGATTCGAAGTATCCTTGAGGTAGAGTTGATGGACAAACTGGCCCCGTCTCTTGGCATCGTTTTGTCTCCCTAAGTTGGTGCCACGTGGAGCCCGTCGGTTTGGGGTTCCGGGTCGAAAGGTTTATGGTCGTTGGATCAATTAGATTTGAGCCATACATTTTTTCTTTAAATAGGGAGGCTGGTTGAGCACCACTCCACCATTTGTTCAAAACCTTCTACATGGGAGCTACTCAGAACACCTTGTCTATCAATAAGCAATTCCCTTAAACTTTCTTTAACAAACATTTTGGTAAAGGATTCCTCTCCTCAACATGTTGACCTCGGATTCAGGTTGTGAGGGATATAACCTTTCTGACTGGACTACTCCTAACAGCACTCCTAGTAGTGACGGGAGTGATAGTAGTAACTCCTAGAGCTCCTCTTGGACGTCTAACGCCCAAGTGTTGAGGAAGAGAGTCATGTCTTGTAGGGCCGAGCGCAATCAACAGAGTGTGGGCTCTGTCAATGAGGGCACCGGTTCCATGCGGCAAGGGCCGACACCCTAAGGAGTGTTCTTGGGCACCTTGAGGTGGTGGATGTGGAAGAGGCTCAAGAACCCAATGGGCCGAGGCGTGGTGTGGCATTGGGGCATTACCCCCACTCTGACTTAGACAACACTCTAGGCAAGGTGCAGGTTAGCACACTGGCTGAGAGGAACTACATTCCCGGGGACTATAGGGTTAGAGTCCCCAGCGTGGGTGATATGTCGTGGCTTGCTCCTGAAGAGGAGGTGTTCATCTATGAGCATTACCTTTACTTCGGGCAGCGGTTTCCCTTGCACCCCTCATCCTCGAGATCCAGAACCATTACAACCTCACTCTTAGCCAACTCACCCCCAATGCCATTAGGACAATAGTGGTTGTATTGGTCATGGCCCACTGTGATGCTGAATATATTTCGGTGTCTATTCGCACCGACAGGAGGGCCCGTTTTACTTCCAAGGCCGATGGGGAAGGGTGGTGAACAACCTATCGTATATTCACAACTGGAAGAAGAAATTCTTTTTCGTTTGTTGCCTCGAGGGATGGTCCTTTCGATTTGGTTGGGGGAGACCAGTTACGTTGCCCGAGAGGATTAAGCCATGCAACAACGATGAGGAGAAAGCTGTGATGACTTGGCTAGTTGGCTTCGATTGGGTGGGACGATTCACGCTGAACCCTTAGTGAAGGAGGATGAGGCCTTGGTGATGTTCGGCCTTAGTCCTCCCCCCCCCCCATATGGACACTCTTATTGTCTACCAATTGTAAAGTTTCTTGAGTTTTGTTGGCGTTCTTCTAATTCGTTTGCTTCTCTTGTTCGCAAAAAATGGAGGTCAACAGGAAGGCAAAATTGCTGGTTACGACATCTAAGAGAGCCATTGGGAACGAAACAGACAAGAGCATGCCTCAGTGTCAACTGGAGGAGGGGGACGCAAGACAATGGGCCGAGGTCGAGGCAGCCTGCAAA